AGGTCTTGCTTGTGTTTGAAGGTAATTACCAATTTTTTAAACCAGAAATTCCCTTTGGTTTTTCAGAGTAAGAGTCTTTCACTTTCTCAGTTATATGAATGCTAATTGACAAGTAGATTATCTGCACATACCTTTTTATTTATCTATTTATTTATCTATTTATTTATTTATTTATTTTTTAATTGATACCAGAGAGGGAGAAAGGGGAGAGAGAGATAGAGAGATAAACATAGATGTGAAAGAGACACATTGATTGGTTACCTTCCTTATATGCCTCACCGGGATGGAATGCACACCCTAAATGTGTGTCCTGACCTGGAATCAAACCTATAACCTTCTGGTGCATGGGGCAAGGCTCCAACTAACTGAGCCACACTGGCCAGGGTCGCACATAATTTTTAATCTCTGGTGAATTTCTTCCTAATGTTCCTCATGTTTCTGCTTAATGTGTGCTGGGGAACTGATCTTAACATTACCCTCAACCAAACATCATTAGGAGGGAACTGCATGAGGAGCTGAAGATATTATGATGCATTTCCAAGGGAACTATAAAATAGTATATTGTGACTGTTTTTCCAAATTAATAAATATTTATCTATAGGATTACTTTTGATGGCCAAATGGCATTTCATTGTATGGAGATATTATGATTTATTAACTGGTCACCTATTGTTGAAAATTTGAGCTCAAATTGACATCTTATGGCTAAATCTTTGCAGGCATACTTAATAATTTCCATAGAATACTTTTTAGAATTCCTGGGTCATTGAATATATACATTATGTAAACATGGCACTTAGAAAACATAAAACATGCAGAAATCATAAGTGTAGTGTGATAAAATTGCCCAAAGAAGAATATTCACCATGTACTCAACTCAGCTTAAGAATATTAAAAGCAAACCAGGAGCCCACCATGTAACCCCTTTCAGTTTCTATCCCTATATAAGGGTAACTAATATACTGACTTACAATACCATAAGTTTTGCTGTTTTGGAATATTCTGGAATTATATCATTTGTAATTATATAAATGGAATTATATCATTTGTACTATTTCATGTATGACTTCTTTCTAATACAAATGTTTTGTCTTTTTGTTTTTATTGATCAAATGTTTTGTCTTTTAATATGTATTGCTAAGTTCCCGTTAGAAAGGTTATTTCAGTTTATTTTCCCACAATGAGTGCCATGTTTCCCACTAAACTGTGGTTATTATCATTTTAAAAAGTTTTGATCAAGGAAATGGTTGTTTTAATTTACTCATTTTTCTCTAAATAGGTTAAACATCTTTTTTCACATGCTTATTAATCAGTTGATTTTTCTTTCAGAAATGTCCTTTGTCTTAATTTCTTTTGGCATATTGTTTTCTTACTAATTTAGAAGTTTAATGTACAAAGAACACGTGACCCTTTGTTTTATATATATTACAAATATTCTTAGATTTGTTGCCTTTCAATTTTGATACGAAAGTTTTAAATTTCCCTTATATTAAGTCTGCCTGTGTGTAGCATTTTAAAAGCCTTCTTCAGTTCCAGATTTTATACTGGTAAACATTTACATATGTTGGTGGGATTTCACTTTTCCTCCCTCCTACCCTTCCACCCACTGCATTGATCTTTATGATTACATGTGCAAATTGATAACCTCACCAGATGATGTTGTAATTTTGCCTTACACAATTATAAGTATTGTGAAGGGAAAAGTAAAACCCAATTATTTATTACTATTGTTGTTCTTGTATTATATTTGATGTTTCAGGTTTTCCTTCTAGTATTATAACCCATCAGCCCGAAGAACTTCCTTTAAAATTTCTTCTAAAAAGTCCACTGGCAGTGAATTATTTTTGTTTCCTTTACTTGAAAATGTCTTTATTTTACCTTTATTCCTGAAGGATATTTTTTCTGGATATAGAAATGTAAAGGGTTTTTTGTTTTTTTCCTGCTTCAATATTTTTATCTTTTCCATCATGACCACCAATTACATGTATGTTAGCTTTATAGTTCCCTGCAACTCTGTGCATTCTATTTCAAACTTTTCCCCTTGGTTTTTAAAATTAAATAATTTCCATTGATCTATCTTAAAACTCACTGATTTTTTTTCCTTATCTCCATTCTGCAATTCAGCCCAGGGAGTTCTTTTGTTTCCATTATTTTTTAGTTTTCAATATTCCTTATGTTTCTTTTTTTTTTTTTTACTAGAGGCCCGGTGCACAAAATTCATACACAGGTAGGGTCCATAGTCCTGGCCGGCGATCAGAGCCAGTCGGGGCCTTCCGGCTGCTGGCTGGGACCTTCCTTCCCCTGGCTGCCAGCTGGCTGCTGGCCGGGGCCTTCCTTCATTCTGCGCCATCCCCTGATGGTCAGTGCACATCATAGCAAGCAGTCGAACTCTTGAGGGGGCGATTTGCATATTAGCCTTTTATTATATAGGACTGGTGGCCCGGTGCATGGATTCGTGCACATTGAAAGGAAATTCATTAGAAGGTGGCCAGCAGGGCGGGACTTGGTGAGACAGGCCAGACACGCCCTGGAGCCAACCTTCCATGGTCCCTCCCCAGCTGGCTGCACCTGGGGTGATGCTGTGGCTTGAAGGGCATCTGCGGTCACTGCAGCTCAGCAGTAAGTCAGATTTGGGGTCGACAGTGCCCCAGCAGCAACATAACCCATGGTCGAAGGTGGAATCACACAGCCCTGCAAGGATTCGGGCTTCCTCCTGCGTTGAGCGTCTGCCCCCTGGTGGTCAGTGTACGTCATACCTACCAGCTGGTCGGATGGTCAGATGGTTGCTTAGCCTTTTATATATATAGATAGTTTCTATTTTTCTATGAGAATTCCTGTCTTCTGATTCATTTTACTGTGTTTTCTATTAGATGTTGTACATCCTTTGTCATGTGGATTCTCGTAATGTTATAACTGTCTGGATAATGCTCATGTTTAGTGTTTGCAGGCAATCAGACCAATTCAAGTCAAAACACAAGTTTTGTCAATAGTGTCTGTGCAGAGAGTGGATCAAATCTTAGTCATTCTCTAAGCATATGTTACATTGTTTTGGGTCTCTCCTGCATATGCACGTAAGGAATTAGTCTTAGATTTGTACAGGTTTTTCAAATCTTAGTTCACTTCACTAAGCCTTTGCCACTTGATTTGGGTTTTTTTTCACACACATTTATTCAAGGTTTAATCCTAGGACTTGTGCCAGTGATTTAAGTTTTAGTTCAATTTTTTCAGCCTCTGTTATGTTGGTTTGGATCTCACCTGAGCTGTGTAGCTCAGGGGGTTAGGCTGAGACTTGTGCAGCTTTATACATAGAATTAGGGTATCCTCTGCTCTCTTTCTTCCTCATATTTGATCTACACTCTCCATTTTTTTCAGAGTTGAAAATTATTAGGTCCATCTAAGTGTTGTTATTCAATCATTTTATAAAGTGCACTATATAATGAGTCTAGTTAATTTAAGAAACTGAAGACTAAAAAAGTTAATTTAAAATTTATTAAGAACCTGCTGTATAACAGATTTGTGCTGGTTAAAGGGCATAAAAATATAAATTACTCATAGGCTTTGCTTATAAATAAGTTACAGTCTGATAGGGCAAACTAAACTAAAATATAGATGATAAGTACTGTAATAAAATTGTATATCATAGCACATTCACTCAGCAAATATGAATTGTGTTCTATGGGCCAGGCACTGCTCTGGCCATGAAGGATATAGTGGTGAACATGATAGACATAGGAATAAATTTAAGTAAACAGTTAAATTAGTCATTGGAGAGGTATCAGGAAATCAGCTGAAAAAAAAGGTTATATATTTTAGAAATGTTCTCGTTAGCTACATGGTTTTCTGTAATAACCTGTAGCTGAACACTACATTGCTTTATAATCCTATTTGACAGAATTATAAATAGTGTTTCGATTTTTCTCTTGGTATCTAAAGTATAATGAACCTGAAGGTTAAATATTGAATTTGGTTTGGATTCAATCCATATTAATCCTACAGATCAATAAAACTTCACGTTCTCAACAAAAGCAGCAGTGTCCTGTTTTTAACACTTTAAGAGCTTTATTTAATGCCAGTTGTAAAAATAGATTAAGTTAAGCTAGTCCCAGTAGTGAAAGAAAAAGGAATGGTATTTAAAGTTTAAACAAATGAAAACTCTATATTCATCTGAATGTTAGTTTCTTTTAGAGACCTTTTTGTACTATCATAGTAACCCTTAGAGTTACTTCGAGTTTCTCTTTTGGCTATTTGCTTAAACATAAGTTTTATTTGAGTACTATTACTGATCTTTATTTTATTTTCAGAAGAAAAAAAAGCAACATTTAAATATTCCATAATCTCATTGCAAAAATATTCATAATGGTTTGCTTTAAAATTGGATGCATAATAATATCAGATGAAATTTAATGAGCTGTCTTTGTATAAAAGTATGTTTTAGTTCTTTATTGCTGTGTAACACACTACCCAAAAACTTAATGCTTTGAGGTCACAATCACTTAGATTTATGGTTTATGATTCTGCAGTCTAGACTGGACTTATCTACTAGTTTTTCTGCTGGTCTCTCCTGGGTCTCTTGAGCTGCTGCAGTTGTCTGGAGGCCTGACTAGTACCACAGGGTCCAGGATGCCTTACCTCGCATGGCAGCATCTCAGCGGGGGAGTCTGGACCCACAAAGGGCTGCTGAGCCCCTCTCTCCTTATAGTCTCTCACCTTTCAGTAGTCTACCATGATCATTTCTCTAATAAAACATATTGATTATTTGATTAGCCTTGTTACCCTTATTATTGTGTTGTTTCTGTGGGGAAAAGCCAAATTATATTACTTTATTTTTACTTATAACATCTTTTCCAGAAAAAATGGTGACCTGCCATAAGTTTAAGAGGTATCTGGTCTTTGGAATGGTTTTTTATTTGCCATGTTTTAAAAGACTGAATAGTAAATTATGTCATGTAATTAGTTTGTTTGTTTGTTTATTTATTTATTTAATTTATTTTTAAAAACAGGCAATTGCTGGCTACTTTGATATATATTTTGAGAGGAATTGCCAAAACAGGGTAAGTATTATGAGTTGTCTCATAAGAATTAATTATGTGAAATACATTGAATTTTATTTTTGTGCCCCAAGGTGTTTGATCATAAGCATTTTGCTATTGTAAGCAATTGGAGCTTGTATTTGATGTAGTAGATTAATGTACCATGATATTAAATATCTTGTACTTCATCAGATACTTTTGAACTCCACCATTGCAGGTCGTGTTCTCTACAGGCCCCCAGAGTACCGAAACACACTGGAAACAAACAATATTTCTATTGGAAAAGCCATTTTCAGTTAAAGCAGGTGAGAGAGAAACGTAAAGGGGGTAAAGTGTCTTATTTATTCTGAAGCATACAATATTCATTCATTCTACAACCACTTTTTATGTGCCCACTCTATTTGAAGGAGTATAATAGTATAATAGATGCTAAAATAAGATGTTCTTGGAGCTTACCATCTACATAAATTTTAGCAGGCATATCATTTCATTAAAAAAGTAATTTTTAAAATTTTTGAATTTATTGGGGTGACATGGGTTAATAAAGTTATACAGGTTACAAGTATACAATTCTATAATATATCATCTGTACATTGCATTGTGTGTCCACCACCCAGAGTCAAGTCTCCTTCTGTCACCATTTATCCCCCGCATTACTCTCTTCTATCTCCCCCCACTCTCCTTTCCTTCTGGCAATCACCACACTACTGTCTATGTTTTTTTTTTCTTAATCCCTTCATCTTTTTTTGTTTGTTTGTTTGTTTGTTTGTTTTTTAATTAAATCTTTATTGTTCAGGTTACATTTGTTCCTCTTTTTTTCCCCCCCATAACTCCCCTCCTCCCAGTTCCCGCCCCACCCTCCGCCCTCACTCCCCACCCACTGTCCTCATCCATAGGTGCACGATTTTTGTCCAGTCTCTTCCCGCATCTCCCATTCCCCTTTCCCCCCCAAGAATAGTCAGTCCATTCCCTTTCTATGTCCCTGATTCATTATAATCACCAGTTCATTCTGTACATCAGATTATTTATTCACTTGATTCTTAGATTCACTTGTTGATAGATGCATGTTTGTTGTTCACAATTTGTATCTTTACCTTTTTCTTCTTCCTCCTCTTAAAGGATACCTTTCAGCATTTCGTATAATACTGGTTTAGTGGTGATGAACTCCTTTAGCTTTTCCTTATCTGTGAAGCTCTTTATCTGACCTTCAATTCTGAATGATAGCTTTGCTGGATAAAGTAATCTTGGTTGTAGGTTCTTGCTATTCATCACTTTGAATATTTCTTGCCACTCCCTTCTGGCCTGCAAAGTTTCTGTTGAGAAATCAGCTGACAGTCGTATGGGTATTCCCTTGTAGGTAATTGAGTCTCTTTCTCTTGCTGCTTTTAAGATTCTCTCTTTGTCTTTTGCTCTTGGCATTTTAATTATGATATGTCTTGGTGTGGTCCTCTTTGGATTCCTTTTGTTTGGGGTTCTCTGCGCTTCTTGGACCTGTAAGTCCATTTCTTTCACCAGGTGGGGGAAGTTTTCTGCCATTATTTCTTCAAATAGGTTTTCAATATCTTGCTGTCTCTCATCTTCTGGCACCCCAATTATTCTGATGTTTGTACGCTTGAAGCTGTCCCAGAGGCTCCTTACACTATCTTCATATTTTCGGATTCTTTTTTCATTTTGCTTTTCCGGTTGGGTGTTTTTTGCTTCTTCGCATTTCAAATCTTTGACTTGATTCTTGCGCTCCTCTGGTCTGCTATTGGGTGTCTGTATAATATTCTTTATTTCAGTCCGTGTATGCTTAATTTCTAGTTGGTTCTTTATCATAGCATCGAGGGTCTCATTAGTTTTCGTGACTCTCTCCTCAAGTTTATTGACAGCTTCTAGCACATTTTTGCAAGCCCTCAAAATTGCGATTTTTAGCTCTATATCCTCCATTTCTGTCATGTTTTTTTGTCTCCGCATTTTTTATGCTTTCTTGGTGCACCCCCTAGTGGTCTTTGTGCGCAGTCTTGTTCTAGTTGAGCCTTGATTGTTGTAGTTAATACTAGAGGGATTTGACCACCAGGCCGACTGGCTGTGTGAATCAGCTGTGTCTGCCGCGGAAAACTTCTGTCCTCTGGGGAGGTGCTAATCTAGCCTTTGCCTGAGGCGATCTGGCAAATGGCTCTGCGCAGGGCTTGGGCGGGGCGGGCTCAACAGGGCGGGTGGAGGGAGCGGTTATGGCTGCTCTCAGTCCCGTTCCCAGAGGCTCTGCTTCTCAGAACCCCAGGAACCGCTGCAAACCTCGGAGAGAAAGCTGCCCTCACGTTCCAACTGATGCCAGACAATCCCGCTTCTCCCGTTTGAGTCTGAGTCCCTAGAGACTCGCCCAGATCTGGAGCTCAGAGTCTGAGACTCCCTCCTGATTGAAAACGACAACCGCGCCCTCAGCCACCAGCCCGCTTTGCGCGCGCACCTCTGTACCTGAGCATTTTCCGCACTGCGCCTCCTCTGAGCCTTGGTATGCTGTTGTTTTTCCTTCTAGTTGAAGAGTCTCTCCTCAGCCAGCCTTCCTGTGGTTCTGGGTGATGTCCGTTCCGTCTTTTAGTTGTATTTTTGAAGTGGTTGTTTGCGGCAGCAGTCTCCGGTGTTTACCTATGCCGCCATCTTGGTCAAGCCTCCCTTCATCTTTTTTACCCAACCCGCCTCCCATCTGACAGCTGTCAGTCTGCTCTCTATATCTATGAGTCTGTTTCTGTTTATTTGTTTATTTTGTTAATTAAATTCCACATATAAGTGAAATCAATGGTATTTATCTTTCTCTGACTCACTTATTTCACTTAGCATAATATTCTCCATGTCCATCCATACTGTTGCTAAGGGTAAGATTTCTTTTAAAGAAGTAATTTAAAAGAAAACTTATATTTACATCTAATATCTGCCAGTTAAAATGTATGTCACATATTATGTACTTACTATTTTGAGTACCACAGAAGAATTCAGAAAACTTTTCTTTAACGATAACTAGTATTTACTAAGTTGCAAATATAACCAAAAGAAAATCTAATATTTTCATTTCCCAACTGACTAAAGAGTAATATTACCATAAAGGTAAAGTATAAATAGAAGAGAATGTTCTTCAGTAGTTAGCATATTCAAAATATATTTGTCTGGAATTCACTCAATTGTCTCTATCTCCTCAAATCCTACAGTATTCAAGGACTGGTCACTTCTACCTTCCTTTGTTTTATATCTCATTGGTCGTTCACTTATATGAGCACCCATAGTTCTTCCATATTACACATTTAGCTCCAAAAGTTAGAGTTTGGTTATAAAACCTTTTTAAAAAAAATTTAAGCTGCTTATTACATAAGTCTTCTTGTTTCAATTTTCTGAAAGCTTCCCCAACTGTAGGAAAGCTGAATGTACAACAAACTTCAGTGAAAAGTTATCCAACATCTCTAGTAACTCAGGAAAAAGATAACTAAAATGATAAGACACTGTTTCTTATTCATCATTATGATGGGAAATACATAAAATTTAACAGCACCACGTGCTGACAATAATGTAGACCAGTGGTTCCCAAACTTATTTGGCCTACCGCCCCCTTTCCAGAAAAAATATTACTCAGCCCCTGGAAATTAATTTTTTTTAAATTTTAATAGCAGTTACTCATCGCCCCCAAATGCACCTGTGGCCATCACCGCCCCCCTGGATCGCTGCAGCGCCCACCGGGGGGGCGGTAGCGCCCACTTTGGAAATCACTGATGTAGACAAATATAACTTATACTCTGCTGCTGATAGTCTTAATTGGTACAACAACTTTAGAAAACATTTTGATACCATCAAGTTAAGAGTACATGAACCATCTCTACAACCACAGTTTTTTTCTAGGCATGTGTTTTGACAGTGTCTCCCACAATCTGTGTACAAGAACTTTCACAGCAGTGGTTTGTAGAGGTGAAAAATTAGAAGCAACCTTAATGTCCATCAGTAGAAGATAGATAAATTTGGTAGTTGCATACAATAAAATATAGTAGATAAATCATATATGTGTGTCTATCAAAAGCAACATTGCAGAAAAATAGTGGCAGAATGATTCCTGCAATATACCATTTATGTGAATTCTAAAAACATACATACACACATAGTAGAGGTAAGAAGTAACACTTAAGAATGATAACCGCTGAATTCAGTGTAGTGGTTACCTTTGGGGAAAGACAGAAAGAAGATCAGGGAAGGCTATGGAGGGGGTTCAGTGCCAGATATCTGAACTGTTTATTTTTAATATTGAAGGAATTGTAGGAGAATGTTAGTATTTGACAAAGCTGAGTAGTGGGTCCCAGGTAGTCATTATATTCTCTATATATTTAAAATATTTCATAAAATTCTACAGTTTTGATTTCACTGTTGATGCATAAGTTGAATTTAGTAGATGCAGATAAACACTATTAGGTAAGTGAGTGGATGTGACTATGTTCCAATTAAATTTTATTTACAAAAACAGGTAGCCAGCATCAAAATTTTTCCATAAAACAAATCTCCAGGCACAATTGCTTCATTGCAAATTCTCCCAATCACTTAAAAAAGAAATAACACCAAAATCTATGCAGTCTCTTTCAAATAAAGAGAGCTAAAATTATGAGTAGTATTATGTTGATAACAAAAACTAGACAAAGATAGTACAAGAAAATTAAGCTACAGACCAATTCCCATTATGAATATAGATGCGTAAATCCTCAACAAAATACCAGCAAGTTGAATCCAGCAGTATTATAAGAAGAACAATGACATTACCATATGAGGGGTTTATTCCAGGAATGCAAGGCTTATTCAGTATTTTTAAGTCATTTAATGTGATCCACAAGCTACCAGAATAAAAAAAACACATGATCACACCAATGACTAGAAAAATCACTTGATAAAATTCAATGTCCACTCATGATAAATACTCAAGCAAACTAGAAATAAAAGAACTTCCTCAACCTGATAAAGGCATCCACACAAAGTCAACAGTAGCAAACAATATACAGATGATGTATTGCAGAATTGTGTACCTGAAACCTGTATAATTTTTTTAACCAATGTCACCCCAATAAATACAATTTTTTAAAAAAAGATAAACATTCTAAGCAATAAATACGTTTTATAATTTAAAAAAATAAAAAAGTAAGGAAAGACAATGTGAATATTTTTCCAGACTAAGATTCTACATTTGGCTAAAAGCAAAATGGAACTGTATAATAATGAGTCTAATTTGTTTTTGTTTTGTTTGTTTGTTATTTTATTTACAATGTAATTAAAAAAAAATCCCAAAAGAAGTGCTCTAAACATTTGAGCACTTTCCAGCATTGTGGGAATAAGAATGAATACTCTTAAAAGAGTTAGAGAACACTTACTTTAATGTTAAAGTCAGGTCGTATGTTTTTCTTTTTCCTTTAAAAATACTAATGTACAATTTTATTTTACAAACTTATGTGGCAGTGTTTACTTAAAAAACCCAGATCATTTTTGTGTTATTTGGCTTTGGAAATATGATTAAAATCAGGCTATTTCTCTTTCTCTGTATATACCTAGTAAGTTTTTAAATGGAGAATCCATTTATTTTTTCTTTTATTTTTTTAACTCTGAGCTTTACTAGTGACAATAATGAATTTTTTTGTTCCTTCTGGGGAAATGAAATGTCATTGCTCTGGATGAAAATAACTTTTAAAAACCACTGAATTTAAACCACATGAAATGAAATTAATTTTGTTCTTGATTGAACTGCAGCACTGCTTTGTGGTATCCTAATAGCCGTCTGCCGATGATTAAACAAGGTGGTACAGCTCAGCTCCATAGAGAATGTCTTTTGCAGCTCTCACCACAGTATACATGCTCAACAACATCAGTCATTTTATATCTATTTGACACTGATTAATTACTCCGATCTATTCTGGTGCTACAGACACTGTCCTAAACAATTGAAGGGAGCTCAGCAGTGTGAATTATGTATTTATTACTGTGACCCTTCCTGCTATTTAATTAACTTAAATAGATGGTATTTGCACCCTCATTTTGAAATTAAGGTTATTGTAAAACTAGCTATTTTACTTGTATTTCACTTTAAGACATGAAAATTATACTGAGATTATAAGGCAATGTTTTGCCTTTTAAGTTATTCAGATGTTTTGCTTGTTTAATAGTGATGCTTAAAATTTTTTGTGTGAAAATTTAACAAAAATATCCATTAATAGTTTATCTTGACTTGGGCTCTATGTCTAAATTGAGGAATGCACAGAGCTCTTGTAGGCATATCCTCTAAACCTGAAATGAACTTGAAAACCTGCTTTATAAGCACCTTGGAACATTCCTCTTTGATCCTTACACTAAGGATTGAAAGAACATTTACAAACAAGCCAACTTAGATATTTTTAACACTTCAGAGGCAACTTAAATCAAAGAGGAGCAATCATTAGCATATACATACCAAATGGAAATATTTGTAAAAATACCTCACATACATCAACAAGAAAGTCCCTAAAATAAATGTAAAAAGGATTTTTTAAAAATTTTTATTGATTTCAGAGAGGAAGGAAGAGGGAGAGAGAGATAGAAATATCAATAATGAGAGAGAATCATTGATCAGCTGCCTCCTGCACATGCATCGTCGGGGTTCCGGCCCACAACCTGGGCATGTGCCCTGACTGAGTATCGAACCCTGACCTCTGGTTCATAGGTAGACACTCAACCACTGAGCCACCATAGCCAGATCACAAAGGATTTTTTAAGATAGTGGTTAGACATTCTAAATGATACTCATCACCACAGATAATCATTGACATGCAAATCAAAGCAATCCGATTCTGATGATTGTTTATCTCAATATCAGGTGTTTTTAATTGTTTTATGTTCTTTATTTATTCATTTATTTAGTAATAAATAAAAGTATCTTATTGAAGTGGGAGACAAAACAACAGGTAGTATTTTCTTTTGGCATCTCCCTCTGAGGGAGGCTGGCAAAGCTGATGGGGCCACCACGTGGACTTGCGGAAGATGGTTTGGTTTCTAATAACACCCAATGTTGATGACAATGGCAGAGTAAAATGAACATTTGCGCCTTTTATTAAGGTGTCCCACTTTTGGTAATACATCATAAGGAGTTTATTCAAAATTCAGACTTGTTTTTTATTCTTTGATATTCTAAGAAGTGAAAGTAACATTGTTTTCATTTGTTTGCCTTTCTTTAAAGTATCTTTATGGAATTTTTGTTCATATTGTCAAATCTTCAACCTTTTCCTTTTGGTTTCTGACTTTGGTTTCATATTTTAAAATATAGCATTACTATGTTTACACGTTTTTATTGAATCCTTTTCCTCAGTGGTTCCAAATGCCCAACTTGCCATGTACTGAATCTCCTAACAGATTTTTAAATTTTTCTACATTATATATGTATCTGTGTTTAGTTCTAAAACACCATATTTTTTAAAAATTTTTATTCTATAATTTACATGCAATAAAAATTCACATTTATATTGTATAGTTCGATGAGTTTTGACAAATATATACACCACCCTTATCCTATATAATAAAAGGGTAATATGCAAATCAACCAAACGGCAGAACAACCAGTCTTTATGACACGCACTGATTACTAGGGGGCAGATACTTAATGCAGGAGCTGCCCCCTGGTGTACAGTGCGCTCCCACAGGGGGAGCACTGCTCAGCCAGAAGCTGGGCTCACAGTTGGCGAGCGCAGTGGTGGTGACGGGAGCTTCTCCTGCCTCCACTGCAAGTGGGCAGTAGGAGCAAGGGGTCCTGGACTGTGAGAGCCCCAGACTGTGAGAGGGATGTCTGCCTGCCGGCTTAGTCCCGATCCCCCCGGGGAGCCTAAGCTGGCAGGTGGACATCCCCCAACAGATCCCAGACTACAAGAGGGTGCAGTCCGGGCTGAGGGACACCCCTCCTCCCCAGTGCATGAATGTCATGCACCAGGCCTCTAGTAAAAATATAAAATACTTCTGTCACTCTAAAAAGTTTCCTTATTGAACCCTTGTGTGGACATCCCCAACTCCAGTACCCAGAGCAAGGCAGACACTGATCTGCTTTCTATTACTGTATAGTAACATTACTAATTAGCATCACTAATATTAAAGTATTAGTATTCTTTCAGAATTTTATATCAGTGGAATTACACAGGATGTACTCCCGCTTCTTTTGCTCAGCATGCTTTCATCTGTGTATCAGTACTTGGTTCCTTTTTATTGACAAGTAGTATTCCTTTGTATGGATGTATTCCAATTTACTTACGCACTCAGTTGCTGCTAGACTTTTGGATTGTTTTCTGTTAGGGATCATTATTAATAAAGTTGCTATGAACATTCGTCTAAAAGTCTTTGTGCAGACATTTTTTTTTTATTGCTTAAAGTATTACAAAGGGTATTACATATGTGTCCTTTTTTTTTTTCCCCCGCCCTTGACAATCCCCTGGCCTCCCTTACCCCCCCAGTGTCTTATGTCCATTGGTTATGCTTATATGCATGCATACAAGTCCTTCAGTTGATCTCTTACCCCCCTCCCTCCTGCCCCCCAACCCTCCCTGGCCTTCTCACTGTGCAGACATGTTTTCATTTCTCTTGGGAAAATACCTGGGAGTAGAATTATCAGGTCTTAATGTAAGTGAATGTTTAACTGTATAAGAAACTGGCAATTTTTTTTCAAAATGACTGTACTATTTAACATTATCTACCACCATTGTATGTGCAGTTGCTCAACATCCTTGCCAACACTTACAAAAAAAGTCAGTTCATTTAATTTAAACCATGCTATTGTATATGTAGTGATGTTATGCTTTTAATTTTCATTTACCTGATGACAAATAATATTGAGCCTCTTTTCATATGTTCATTGGCCATTCGTATATTTTTTTTGTGATGTTTCAGTTAAAATATTTAGCTTAATTTTTAAGTGGGTTGTTTGTCATCTTATTATTGAGTTTTCAGAATCTTTATTTATATAGATACAAGTCCTTTGTCAAATATATGTGTTGCTAATATATTTATTCCAATTCCCAGCTTTTCTTTTCATGGTCTTAATGTTTTTTTGAAGTTTTGTATCTTAAGAAATCTTTGCTACCCTAACATCACGAAGATTTTCTTGTATGTTTTCGTCTAAAAGTTTTTATAATTTGGCCTTTTAAATTTAGGTCTATGGTATGTTTTATGTTAATTTTAATATTAGTAGTTTATCTTTTTCCAAATATGTATTAGGTTGTTCCACCATCATTTCTTGTAAAGACTGTCCTTTTTCTATTTAATTACCTTGGCTAATTGACCATATGTGTATAGATGGGTCTGTTTCTGGGCTCTATTTTGTCCCATTGATCTAGATGTATGTTCTTTTTCAAAATTGGTTTTGTTATTCTAGAACCCTTAAATTGCTATATACATTTTAAAGTCAACTTGTTAATTTCCACCCCCCAAAAACCCTGTTAGGATTGTGATTGGGATTGTGTTGAATGTATGTATTACTTTGGGAAGAATTGCCATTTTAACCATATTGGGTCTTTCATCCATAAGCAAAATGTGTCTTTCAATTTAGTTTAGATCATCTTTAGCACTCTTTCATAGTTTTATGTTTCTAAATCTTGCACATATGTTGTGACATTTATCTCAAGTATTGTATATTTGTATGATACTATTGTAAATGCTATGTTGGTTTTTTATTTCAATTTCTAATCCCTTATTGCTAATGTATAGAAATAAAACTAAATTTTTTATATTGACCTTATATCTTAAGACATTGCTAAACCATCTTACAGTTCTAGTAGCTTTTTTTTCATATTGCTTTAAAATATTCTATATATAAGAAATGTGATCTACAAATACAGATTGTTTTATGTCTTTTTTCCTCTAATTTATATCCCTTTTTTTTCTTCTTGTGCACCTTAGTGCCCTTACTAGGGCATCCAATAGAATACTAATTAAAAGTGGTCAGAACAGACGTTTTGGTCAGAGAACATATTATGTATGCTTTCTGTACATTGTTTAAGATTTTTTTTATGACCCAGCTATGATCTATCTTGGTTCTATAGATGTCAATCGAGTCATGTTGGTAATAGTTCAAGTCTTCCATGTTCTCTCTGATTTTATCTAATTATTACAGTTATCAACAAAGAAGAGGAGAAATTTCCAGCCATAATTGTAGATTTTTCTGTTTTTTGTTTTGTTTTGTTTTTTATGGTCTGTCAGGTTTGTGTCATGCAGTTTGAAGCTCTGTGCATACAAAAATTTATGATGTGTCGTTTATGAATTGAACAAGTTATTCTATTGAAATGCCTCTCTTTATCTCTGGTTATATTTTTTTTTCCTGAAGTCAACTTTGTCTGAATTATTATAGCCATTCCAACCTCTTTATGATTAATGTTTATATAGAATTTCTTCTTTTACTTTTAACCTATATCCTTATAAAGTAAGTTGGACATGTTTACATTTAATATTATTACCAATGTTATTGAATTTAACTCTATTGTTTGCCATTTGTTTGTTTTTTTTAATCTCCTCTGTCTTTTACCCCTCTTTTCTTCTTTTTTTTATTATTAAACATTCTTTACTATTTTATTTTATCTCTACCTGTGACTAATTAGCCATACCTCTTGGGTTTGTTTTTATAATGGTTGCTCTAGAGCAGTGGTTCTCAACCTTCTGGCCCTTTAAATACAGTTCCTCATGTTGTGACCCAACCATAAAACCATTTTCGTTGCTGCTTCATAACTGTAATGTTGCTACTGTTATGAATCGTAATGTAAATATCTGATATGCAGGATGGTCTTAGGCGACACCTGTGAAAGGGTCGTTCAACCGCCAAAGGGGTCGCGACCCACAGGTTGAGAACCGATGCTCTAGAGTTTCCAGCCTGCATCTTTAGATTATTACAAACAACCATCA